GAAGATGTGTTTGGCTATTTTTTTGCATTAAAAGGAAAAACGGCACTGGGCTGAGGTGGTTTGTTTGTAGGCAGCAGGAGCGCAAGGCTCTGCTCTTAATTAAGAGCTGCGGGTGCAGCACAGAGCAGCTCCTCGGGATGGGGGAGGGGGGGGAATGGGTTCCTCTATGGGGCTTCGGTGCCCCTGTCTGGCAGGAGGGGTGCAGGGTGTGTGTGTGCTGCAGGTGCAGTCCCATCGCTGTGGGTGCAGTTGCTGCACTGAGTTTGCAAGGGCTCTGCATGCAATCTCCCACCCCCTTAACCCTTCACCAAGGCCCCACCGTGGCTCCCCATCACTGCCTTCCTCCCTCCCCCAGGAACCCTGCAGGAGCAGGGCTGGGGGCATTGGGTGGGGGGCAACCCCTGCACGTTCTGGAGTAAGGATGGAGTAAGCCGAGCTCGGGGAACTGAAATCACGGGGAGACGAATTGCTGGACCTGGGAGGGATGTCTGTGGCAGGATTTGGGATTCGCTGCTTTGGGGCTGGCACAGCGCATCTCTTCATGGAGTGCGTGGCCCTTTAAGAGCGCCTCGCACCGCACGGCCCGCTCTCCCCCGCCCATCCGCGAGGGGGCGCTGTGGCGGTCCTCCTCCCGCCCGGCATGCGCCGCGCCCGCTCTCCCCCCCCCCCCCCCCCCCCCACGCCATTGTGCCTGGGAGCGCGGCGCGCGCGCGGTGCCGCGTGACGCCCGGGGAGCGCGTGTGGGCGCGAGGCGGCGGGCCTGGGCCATAGACGCGGGCCGGAAGGAGAGGCGAGGCGAGGGGAGCGGGCTAGAGCGTCGCCCCAACCAGGCAGCCGCCGCGGGCGAGTCGGAGTCCGCCAAGCAGCCGCGCCGCGCCGCGCCCGCTCCCGGACAAAGCCGCCACCGCCGCCCGCCGCCCCGCCCCGCCCCACCCCGGCAGCAGCCGCTCCGCCGCGGAGCCATGTCGGCCAGCAGCCTCCTGGAGCAGGTAGGGGCCTCGCCGCCGCCCCCCGGCCTCCCCTTGGCGGCTCCGGGCCTGGCCCGCTAGGCGAGGCCGCGGCTGAGGCCTAGCTGCGGGGCGCGGGCCGGGCCTCCCTTCCCCTCCTTCCCCCCCTTCCCCTCCCCGAGGCCTCCCGCCCGCTGCGGCCGCCCCTCCCCTCACTCACCGCTCTCCCTTCTCTTTCCATGCCGCCTCCGCAGAGACCCAAAGGCCAAGGCAACAAAGGTGAGACGGGGCCGGGGCGGTGCGGATGGGCGCGGGGGGAAACCGAGCCGGGAAAAGGGCCGAGAAAACAACGCTAAAAAAAATAAAAGAAAAACATCTTAAAAGTGCTCACGGGGAGGGTTGGGGCGCGGAGGAGAACTTGGCTTTGCCCTCCGTGTGGTGGCACAGCGCGGTCCCGGGGCCGGCCCGGAGGAGGAGGAGGAGGAGGAGGCGGTCGTGTTGCTGCTTGTTGAGTGCTTCCTAACGCCGCGCATCTCTTCCTCAGTGCAAAACGGCTCCGTGCATCAGAAGGATGGGCTGAACGACGACGACTTTGAGCCTTACTTGAGCCCTCAGGCCCGGCCGGTGAGTGAGCTGAGCTGCTGGAGCTCCGCCCTGCCCGTTGCGCTCTGCTGTTTGCCAGTTTTCCCCTCATCGCCTCCTGTTTGTGTCCCCGTGCTTCTCCCAGCAAAAGCTGCACTCGTGGGTGAGGGCTGGAGCTGTTGGCAACTTTTTGTGTCTTCCTTTTTGGGGCTTCCTACGGTTGAGGTTCAGCCCGCTGTCAGCTGTCTTGAAATTACTGCTTCTGGTCTTTCAGTTGTGTTGCTTTGGCTTTGTTTCTTTGCTTGCGTGTGGCTCTTTGTAGAGCAGATGTGCTGTGCAGTGTTGTGAAATTGCTTCATGAGATGCAGCCGTGCTTTGGAGGCATTTGGAAGATGCTATCTGTGCTCTTCTGTCTCTGCCAAGGAAACTGAAAATGCATGTCGTGGGGTTTTCTCTGTTTCTCACCCCCCAAAAAAGTCCCAGAACACTCTTGTCATAAGGGCTGATGGGTCTTTCTTAGAGCTTCAGTTAGGAGTTGAGCTGGGGAGTTTGTGAGCAGCTCCTGAAAGTCAGGCTTCCAGATACTTTTTAGTTGTTGTTTGAGATTAGCTCCATTGTTAACTGCTCTGTCTCGTGAGCAGTAGGAGAGTGACACACAACAGATGGAGTTCAGCTGATTAGATGTTACAAGTAAGCATTACAGATAAACATCTGTAGTAAGGCTGAAGCAGTTCATTCTCTTGGCTTCTTTTCCCTTTACTGTTGTGTCTGGTTAAAAAAAAAAAAAGCTGTTTTGTTTCTCTCTGTATTTTTTTAATGACTTTTCCTAGCCAGTGCATCACTTCAGATACTTGTGATTCATGTTTTGTTGGAACACAAGAGCAGGTTTCTGTCTCAGGTAAACACTCAACAGGTATTTTCCTTGGTTGTGCTCTGTAAGGACCTGTTAGCTGTTGCACAATCTTGGGCATTCCACCTGTCCGTTAAGTAACTCTGCTCTATTTAGCTCCCTAAAACAAGTTACAAGCCTGAATTTGAGTTGCACAGGGAGAGAGGTGTGATTGCTTTCTCCAGCCTTGAACAAAGCATGCTGCTTCCTTTTGCCCTATGGTATTTTACTCCATTTTGTGCATTTGGTACACATCTCAATATTTAGTTTCTTTTTATGCATGCGTGTCACAAACTGGTCAGGGTATTTTTTAAAAAGGAGGAGGAGCACCTGAGGAGGGGGAGGAGGAGGGCTGTGGGAATGCAGCAGCAGCGAGGTAAAACCTCTGTGTTAACGTTGGGTGAAACTTGAGGATGAGTTTGCCTCCTTTTCTCTCTGTTTCTCACTGCGTTGCCTGTTGCTCTCATGTGTCCTTTGATGCCTCAGTAGGCAGAAAACAAAAAGCTGGGGTTCAGTTTGGATCGTGGAGCTGCTGAGCCCACAAGCTGGGCTGTGACAGAGCAGCGTCACACGTGTGCCTTTCTGGCAAGGGGAAAGGGAGCCAAGGCTCTGAATTAAAGACAGCCAACCGTTGCAGAATAAGGCAGGTGCTTTCAGAGCTGCTACCTGAGCTGTCTGCACACACACCAGGTGACCACCTTGTAAAGTTTCTTGGCTCTTTGTTGGAGAGCTGCTGTTTCAGTTGTGACTCTCAGGACTTGTCAGCCCTGTAAATCACGTTGCTGTGTGTTCTTAAAGCTCAGGAACACAGAGATTCCTCAGCTCCAGGAGTCAGTCAGCTTAAACTCTCCTTGTCTGAGGTGCAGATGCAGAGGAATAGTGAATTTGAGGAATTAACTGCACAAGAAGTCTTAATGGAGAAAATTAAAAGGTTTATTTGCATACCAATCAGTGTCTTTGTGTGAGTGCAGTGTGGCAGGGCGAGGTGTGCTTGATAGCAAAGCATAGCTGCAGAAGCTGAAAACTAAAACTGTACCCTGGGTAAGAGTTAATTGTTTTATTAGTACACTTCTGTGCCATCTTCTCTGGGAAAACAAAGGCTGCAGTAACTCTGAACTTAATGCATCCACTTAACGCAGTGCAGAAAGTTTTCCAGTGTTTCATGCGATAAACCAAACGGTGTTATCATAATTCCTGCTGATTTTTCAGAAGGCCTGAGGCTATCCCAGCCCCAAACCTGTTGCTTTCCTTTAACTCAATGGAAGGTGGAGAGGCAAAACTGCTATTTCTGGAGGAGGCCAGAGCCATCTTGAGAGCCTCCATAGACTTCAGCATGGCGTGAAGTCCTCTGGGAGCTGTGCCTGGCACATG